ACTGGGAAGTGCAGTATAAAAGTGTAGTAGCCAGGTACAGTGACAGCTGCCTGGAATCCCATCAATCAGGAGTCTGAGATGAGAGGATCAGGATCGTTAAGTTCAAGGCCATCCTGGATAAGTTAGTGAGACCCTGTTTCAAAATAAAAAATAAAAAGATCTGGGGATGTAGCTCAGTGGTAAAATGCTTCTGGGTTTGATCTCCAATACTGCAAAAATGATAACATTAAAAAGTAGCTGTAAGCTTTTACAGTGGCCCACTCTGCACTCTGCCGAGCATGCTTGTTTTCTTATCTGTAATGTAAAACCTTGCTACCTTTTTTTTTTTTGGTACTGGGAATTGAACTTGGGTCCTTGCGCTTGTGCAGCAGGCGGCAAAAAAACCTTGCTACCTTTTAAAAAAAAGTAGCATAGTAGGGGCCGGGGATTTAGCTCAGTGGTTCCGCTGCCTGCCTCACAAGCACAAGGACCCGAGTTCAATCCCCGGTACCAAAAATAAGCCCCCAAAAGTAGCATAGTAGATGTCATTGATCTTCACTGTGGTCCCCTAGCTGATGTACCTATGTCCCAGACATGGTGAGTTTGTCTGCTAATGCCTTAAGGTGCTGCCTTCCCTGGAGTATTGCCCTTCGGCTATGGGCTATGTGGCCTTTCCTTGCCTCATGAGGCAGCCTGTGACTCACAAATAAGGGACACAAAAGGGCAAGCCCGTCATCTCAAGGCCACAGCAACTAAATAGTATTATTTGCTCCAGAGTACTCTGTAGGAACTGACCCTGTCCCTGCTTAGCTTTTTCTCCTGGCCCTATTCTACTCAGTCCCCTTTTGATAAAACTCCCTCAAGAAACTGTGTACAAAAGTCCTTGTATCAGTCACTCAATCTTTGTTTATTGCTGTGAGCGTCCCTGTAGACAGATACTTGAAACTAGATTGCAAAGGTCCTTGAATGCCTGTCAAAGACTCCTAAGTGTTGTCCTATTGGCAAAAGGAAGCCTGCTGCATTTTACAAGAATCCCTCAGTAGAGTGGTTTGAAAAGTGGTAAGAGGCCTAAAATGGTACTTTGTACATGTTCTAATAAGGAACAATGAATGCCTCAGTTATTTATCCTTAATTAGGGTAGGGGATATGAGTCATTTATAGAGATTGGGGAAGAACTGAGAAGTTTTTGATAATTTAAACATGGGGAGAAGAATTCAAAGATAGATTGGATAGTGGGCAAATAGTTGTATCAGCTGAAAAATAGAACTCATAGGAACTGGTAGTTTTGGAAAAAGTTAATAAGTTCAATTCCACTATCTTGAATTTTAGGTACCTTGTGCATTGTCAAAGGTGAAAATGTCAGCAATATGTGGAAACAGTTTGGACATATCTGCATGACATATGGAAGATGGGTCAGGTCAATAACATAAAGGTAGTGGTTTGAGTTATGAGGGAGTATAGGGCCAAGGCAAGACATTGGGAGCCCTTTTTTATCATTTGAGATGTTTTCTGTTCAGCAGCAAGTCACAGAGAGAACCTAACTGATGTAGGAGTAAAGGAGATTTATTGGCATAGTGTTTGAAAATCTAGGGGTAGGGTAGGCTTCAGGGTTTTTTGATCAGGAGTTTGGCTTCATTTTTCTGTAATTATATTTATCTTTCATTTGTGAGATTTGTTTTTGCTTTCCTCATGGAGGAAAAGTGACCCCCATGATTCCAGGATTCTGCAAACGACATATTCCAGGAGAGAGCATTTGTGTTCCTGAATTCCTGGGAGTTCTAAGCTTTGAACAGTATTGGAGAGACCATTGTCACCAAGGGGAAGGGATTCCCTAGGTGGTTATGGTCAGTCTGGCACTGGAGAAGTGGTAGGATTAGGCTGATAAAGAGCATGGCTACTATACTAGGAGGAGGGGTGCAGTGGACATTTGGAAGAAAAACACAAAGTTTACTGTAATCATTGTACACACAAGGGACAGATAGGGAAAAGAGCTAGTGAAACAGGAAAATAGTGATCGAGATTGGAAGAGAGCCCCATGGAAGCTCCTCAGCCCAGAGTAGAATGGGTTTTGAAGACGAAGGACTAAAAATTGTCAATTCAGATAGCCATTGGTTTTGATAGGTGATTGGTGATCTTAGAGCAATATCAGTAGCCTGGAGGGGCTGTTGGTCAACCAGCCAAATATGCAATCATAGGGAAGCAGAGAATGTGTACTTTTTTGTGTGTTTGTTTTAAATAAGTTAAGTGGTAAACAGAAGGTGGTAGTTTAAGGAAGAACTAGATTAGGGAGATTAAAATGTAAGTAAAAAATGATTAAAATGCTTATGGGAGACTTTCTGCCCATGTTTGTTCCATGAGTTGAATGAATTTAGAGTTTGAGCTTTAGTTTGATCTCTGGCTTTAAAGACACCTTCCTGTATGAGCCCAGACAAGTCACTGTTTTCTCAGCCTCTCATAGGTAACGACCATAATAAACATTTTGTAAGAAAGCTGTAAGGGTTAAGCAAGATAATATTATATAAAAGAGATTTATCAGCTAAACTGCTCTACAAATATTAGCAGGTAATAGCATATTGTTTATTTAAACCCTATCTTATAAAAATGTAAGCTATTATAGAATACTAGTATGTACAGGTAAAAGGTATGTGAGAGAAAGGGAGAAAATATGAAGGAAGGAGAAGAGGGAACAGCTCTAATTAAGAAACATTTGACTCCCTTCTTAGCATTGCTTTGTAGCTTTGCTAAGCCAAAGGTCCTTAGATTTTATATAATTTTTGTTAGGGGCATTTTGTATGGCCCTGTGTTGACTGGCCCTTAGTTTCAGTTGCTTTTGGAATAAGGGTAAAGGAACACGGTACAGTGTAGTTCTTGTTTAGGATACCAGAATGATCTTTTTATTTTTAAGGTTTTTATTAGTACATGTTTGTAGTACATAATGATTGCAGGCATCACGAGAAGTTGGTAGACGTACATAACACATCTTTTTTCATCCCTTTCTCCTCTTATCATCCCACTCCCACTCCCTCAATCTCTTGGTCATCTTCCCTTTTGCAAAAAATCTACCTCCCTGTTTCCTATTATCTATTATTTTGCTCTTTATATTTTGGGTTTCTCAGATAAGAGAAACCATGTGGAATTTAAGCTTGTATGTCTGATTTATTTCATTTAACATGTCTCTGTGGATCCATTTTCCTGCAAATGACTTGTTTATCTTTTTTTATGGCAGAGTAGTACCCTATTGTGTATAAATACCACACTTCCTTCACCCATTCATCTTTTTTTTTTGGTGCCGGGGATTGAACTCGGGACCTTGTGCTTGGGAAGCAGGCAGGGGCACCAGTGAGCTAAATAAATCCCTGGGCCTGTCCATTCATCTGTTGATGGACATATATAGGCCACTTCCAAGATTTAGCCATTAGTGAGTTGTGCTGCTAGAAACATAGGTATGTATGTATCACTGTAATATGTCTTCAGCTCTTTGGGGAAGATAGTTAGAAGGGGAATAGAAATTCAGATGGAATTTCTGGGGGTTTTTTGGGTATTTTTGGTATGGGGGTTCAAGCTCCGGACCTCATGCTTGCGAGGCAGGCAGCGGAACCACTGAGCTAAATCCCCGGCCACCTCTGGGTTATTTTGTAAAGGAATCTCCATAGTGATATCCATAGTGAGTGTACTAGTTTAGATTCCTGCCAGGAATATAGAAGGGTTCCTTTTTCCCTGCAGCCTCTAGCATTTGTTGTCTTTTGATTTCTTGATGATAGTTATTCTTTCTGGAGTAAGATGGAATCTCAATGTTTTAATTTGTATTTCTCTAAAGGCCAGAGATAGTCAACATTTTTGTCATGTATTTAGAGGGCATTTGTACTTCTGAGACGTGTCTGTTCACTTCAGTTGCTGACTTTTTGATTGGGTCTTTTATTTTGGGACCTCTAAGTTTTTTGAGATCTTTATATATTTTAGATGTTAGTTCTCTGTCTGAAGAATAGCTGGCAAAAAAATTTCCCATTCTGTGGGTTGTCTCTTCTCTCTGTTGGTTGTTTCCTTTCCTTTGCAGAAGTTTTAAAATTTGATATGATTCTATTTGTTGATTCTTGATGTCATTTCTTCTGCATGTTCAGTCTTTGCCTATGCCTATGCCTTCAAGAATTTTACCTATTTTATCTTCCAGAAGATTAATTCGGTTTTTTTTTTTTCAATGTTAGCAAAGTTACATTAAAGTAGAAAAAGAAACAGGCTCTGCGGAGTGAGTTTGGGCCAAGTAAAAGTAGAAAAAGAGGTACACTCTACAGCATAAGGGCAGGCCGCCATGCAAGAGCAAGACACAGTGGCCTGTTTCTGTTTTAATATTTAGATCTTTGATTCATTTTGATTTTTGTTTAGTACATGGTGACAGATATGGGTCTAGGTTTAATCTTCTACATGTGGATAGCCAGTTTTCCCAGAACCGTTTATTAAAGAGACTATCTTTCCTCCAGTGTGTGTTTTTGGGCCCTTTGTTAAGTATCAGATGGCCAAATGTGTCTGGGGTTGTTTCTGCATCTTCTGTTTTGTTAGGTTGATCTTTATATCTATTGTGCCACTACTCTTCAGACATTCTTATTACTACTTAGGTTGTTAAGTCTTTTATAGTTATTAAACTACACATTTATTACATACATTTGTTTCTTTAGTCAGTTCCTTCAGTGGCATTTCCTAGGCTTAGTTTTAAGCAGGCTAATGTTTTTAACTATAATAGGGAGAATAACACGACCTACCTTGTATGGTACTGATAAAGATAAAATGAGCCTAAAAACAACAAAAAACCCAATCAACCAACCAATCAGAAAAACCCAAACCCTGAGAATGCCACTAGGGATGATTTAATGGCTAGCATTGTCATTCCTTATTAGTTCATCATGAATAGTCAATATATGTGAGAAATACTAAGTAATGACTACTTCAACATAAAATGATTGTTGAACAAAATTGTGGGTTGTTTGTTTAATAAAGTGAGAAAAATAGTTTCCTTAACTACAGCTCAGATTCCATGTTGATTTCCGTCATGGGCATGGCGCTCTACACTGGATACGTCTTCATGCCCCAGCACATCATGGCAATATTGCACTACTTTGAAATTGTACAATGACCGTCACGTGACCAGGATCAAGAAGTTCCTTGGAGAAGACCCACTCTACAAAGTTGGAATGAGTCTTCCTCAGATGTCCTAAGAAACTACTGGATGTCAGCATAACCGACCTTATAAACATGAAGACTAAAATTCATGAGTAGAACAGGAAACTCATCCTGACTCATGTGTTGTGTTCTTTATTTTTGATTCTAGAAGAGGCTCTTGTATAGTAGTTTTTGTCTATTTTAACATTGTAGTCATTTGTACTTTGATATTAATATTTTCTTAACCTTTGTGACTGTTTCAATATTACCCCATGAAAGCTTTTTTTAATGTAACTGAGTATATTTTAATTGCCTTCTATTTTTAAAACTCAAAAGTAATTAGTTGGGCTTTATCATTTTTGCTATTGTATGGCATATACATCTGCCTGGATATATTTCTACTCTTGACCAAAGTTTTGTAAGAAATAATACAAGATTTGGAGCAGCAGGCTGGGGAGGGAGGATATTTTATTGAGAATTACTTACAAAAGACTTATCTGTAAACTTGAACTCAGGAGTACAATTTTAGCTATCTACTCTTAACAGTCTTTGCTTTAAAGCTATTAAAATGTTTCTTGCAATGAAAAAAAGTAAAGATCTTGCTAAAATTAAGATAAGGAACACTTCACCTTTTAAATATTTAATTATGAGGACTTATTTCCAGAAAACTTTGGTGATGATTCTTAAGAGAATAAATGGTTAGTTAATAGCATTATTATTATTATTATTTTTGGTACCAGGGATTGAACTCGGGTCCTTGTGCTCGCGCAGGTTAATAGTATTATTAATACTTCTGTATACTGTAGAGTTGTTTTTTTTTTGGTACTGGGGATTGAATTTGGGACTTTGCGCTTTCGAGGGAGGCACTGGAACCACCATTGAGCTAAATCCCCAGCCCAATGTAGAGTTTTTAATAGAAGGAAGTCAGTTTCCGCTGAGGGCCACTATTAACAGCATATGTATTTCCTTAAAGTTAGTTTCATGATTGTAATGAGTGCTGCAAGTGCTTTTGCACCTTGCAATAAGATGTGATGAGATGAATTGTTAAAAAACATAGCAAAGGGGCTGGGGATTTAGCTCAGTGGTTTCCACCGCCTGCTTCGCAAGCTCAAGGACCCGAGTTCAATCCCCGGTACCAAAAAAAAAAAACCAAAAAAAAACCATAGCAAAAAGAAGTGTAAATTTGGCTAAAATCCTTTCACTCTTTGTATTGTTTTTTTAAAAAGATTTTTATTCCTTAATGTAAAATGACTGCCTAAACTTTTAATGTAAACTCATTAAATTGAAAGAGAACAAAAAATCAGCTAATGTGGCAGTATATCTTTTCCTTTGTGATTAAATATTGATCTATTGTGGTAGTTACACTTCTGAACTGATAGTTGTGGAGGACCAGACAAGCATAAGTACATCTTAACATGTCTCTCCACATAAAAGTAATGCTAATAATAACAGGCGTTATGCATTTTAAGATGGCTTCCACATAGATGGCTTCCACACAATTTCAAAATTGCTAATTTTGAAAAATTCAGGTATTTTTGGACCTAAATTTTAAAGACTATTTTTGCAGCACTTTCTAATCCAGAGGTCTCAAGTAATGTAGAAAACTATAGTATCTGTAAAGAATCTATATAATCACAATTACAGTGGTGAGCATAATATGTAATTACTTAATTTTGAACTACTTAAAATTTGATATAGTTATAGGTGAGCTATGTTCATACTCTCAGGCAAGATACGGAATATGAGGATTTAACTTGGAATCTGTTCATTAATGTTCAAATTTTCCATTCCTCCACTGTCCCCTCTAAAGAATACTGTCAAGTGGATGTCTTTTGGGGTTTTTTTGTTGTTGTTTGTTTGTTTTGAGACACGGTCTCGCTATGTATTGCAGGCTGGCCGTGGACTCACTGTGTAACCCAGGCTGGTCTTGAATTTATAGTGATCCTCCTGCCTCAGCCTTCCCTGGAAGAGTGCTGGGATTACAGGCGTGTATCACCATGCCAAGCCAACAAATGGATGTCTAATAGCCCCATGGAAGAGATGAGAATCACTAGTTTAATAGGTGGGTATCCAGATTACCTACCTACCCCTCAACTTAGAAATCTTTAATTAATCCTCACTTTTTACTGAAATCTATTAAATTGCTGTTGTATCAATGATGATTTATGAACACCGGCCTGGGAGATATATGGAAGATGAGTTTAGCCTTACAGGAAATCTTGAGGAGAGTCAGAAAGAGGAATAGGAGCACATCTCATTGAGAAGTGATCAGGAAAGTATATTCTCACCAACCAACAAATATATAGTGTGTTTGCTAGTCTACCAAGTAGAGAGATATTTTTTACTTTGTTTTTAAAAAATAAAGTATTAGACAATTCTGAATGGCCTGCTTGTCTTTATATATTTCTGGCTAGGGAAGAAATGACTGCCTTAATTATGGAATGATTTCAAGGAGAAGGAGAGAAAGTAGAAGAGTTAGAGAAGATAGATACCCACAGTGTCTCCCTCCAGAGCAAAGGGCAGGTTGGCTCAGAGCCTTGGAAAACAGAGTGCTCCTGGAGTAAAGGGCATTATAAAAGATTTAGGTGCCCTGTGCTCAGGTTCCCTCTCTGGTAATGGAATCCATTGCATATACTGGCTTCACCTGGCTCTCTACATTGTCATATGGGAATGGGCCTTGGTAACCAGAACAACAGCAGTAATAATCTTCATATTTTGGCTATTGTTGTGAGTAGTAAAGTCCTTTGTCTTTGGATTAGAAGCCAGTCAAAGGGGAACCTAAGATTTCACCCTTAACTCCGGCTTAGCCACCTGGATTCTTGTGTAATTTGTATGGCCCTCTGTCATGAAGGTCATCACCGATTGGTTGAGATACTGCTTTGAGTCACCCAGTGGTTTGTATAGGCCAAAGTGAGTGACATAATGACTCTGAAATTAATCTCTGGAATCTAATTATAAAAAGGCCTTATCCATTTTCCCCCTGACTCTTTGGGATGAGTGGTCTGGGTGTACTAGAGATAATTGGGAAAAAGGCGAATTACAGCTAGGGAATGGGTGGTGATGGGGAGTGAACAACTCTAAGATTTGAGGTAAAAACACCTGAGATGCCAGGAGGAGGAGGAGGAAGGATCTCTAATAATCTTTTGTCTTTCAGAGCCTCATCTGGATCCTTCTAGAGGAAGGAAAAGGCCTAGGTTCAGCTCTTCCAAACAGTTGCAAACACTTTAAATGGTGAAAACTGCTGAATCTGCCATTCTTTCCTGATGGTGCTGACCATGGTGTTGTTTGTTTTTTGTTTTTGTTTTTTTGAGACAGGGTCTCGCTATGTAGTTCAGGCTGGCTGAACTCACTATGTAGCCCAGGCTGGCCTCAAATTCATGGTGATCCTCCTGGTGATCCTCCCCCTCGGCCTCCTGAGTGCTGGGATTACAGGCGTGTACCACCATGCCTGACATTCTGACCGTGGTTTTGATTGTCATTCTCTTTTACCTTAGCACCATTCTATCAGATAAAGTAGATGATAGCACAGCATCTGCATCTCCCATGCAAAACACTAGCTTATATTGCTGGATGTCTTCTCTATCTTCACGCCCATAACTACCACTTTGTCACTCTGTGGGGTGAATGAGTATCACCTGTCGGGTGGTGAAGACAGGAACATTTGATAGACAACTCTTAGGGCCTAAGACTTAGGCAATCCCTATAAAAATGAGGACTAGACTCAATTATTCATACTGAACTGAGAGTTCTGAGGCTTAGCAGCTTGCCACATGTCCACACTGAGGGAACTGAACCTTTGCCCTCTGATTGATGAACTATGTTCTGTTTGGTGAGGCCAATACTTGTAAGTAACACTTTCCAAAAGCACCTAGTGTTCTGTGGGTCTCTTTTCTTTGTGGAAGACAAAAGTGAACTTGTCTCTCCTGACCACACCCTTAGCAGAACACTGAGACCTTCAAATCTTTAAGGAAGTATCACTGTAGATCCTGTGGCTCTCAGATGATCAGATTTCTCCCAAGTTGTGGTTAGTAGCTGGAGGGATGTCCCCAGAAAGATAATGGATTTATTATTTATGTACACTTTGCTGGTAATTATCTGTAACAATAGTTATCCAGTTAGAGAAAGGGGTAAACATTTAGTTGAGTTATGCATGGCGCCACCTTGGCCCTGGAAGGGATTGAGGTCAGCCTCAGGTCACTAAACCAGGTTGTTGTGAATGAAAGAGTTGCCATAGACTGGCCTCCTCAGGTGACACCTGTGCAATCTCTGATACATATTGCTGTGACTGATTAATGCCTTGGGCCAGGTGGAAAGGTCAATAGGGAAATTTAAAGAGGAAGTCACTTGGCTTTCTAATACCCTGATGGTGGGTGGGATCGTTAAACTGGTTGAATCCAGGACCCTCAGGGCTATGATTGAGATCAATACTGCAGTAGGTCCTTGTCTTGCTATACAGTCCTCTTGGCTGTAAATGCTATGTGAGACACATTGATTTGGTCTTAGCCTCTGTCGGTCATTAATTAGAGTGGCTGACGAAGTTGCATAATCATCAGAAACGTTTCCAGGAGCCAAGACTGTAGAAACTGCACAGTAGTAGAAAGTGTGCAGTCTTATGGGTACTGTTGGGAGACTGTAGATATTATTGGGAAACAGTTCTCTAAGGGGCTCTTATATTTCTGTGTTTTACAAGCAGAAACACTGATCTTTGTTCTAGACCCTCCAGGAAGGTTTGCATAGGGAACAGCCCTGACAGAGGTAGTGTCTTCTCCCAGGGCAAATGGCAGGCTTGCTTAGAGCCTTGGGAAACAGATATAGTGTCTACCTCTGGACTATACCATCCAGTATAAAAAGATTTAGGTTTTCTAAGCTTGGGGATCCTTTCTTGTAATGAAACTCATTGTGTATAGATGGCACCTAGGCTGTCTTTGTGCCACCCTGTGGGAATTACAGTTTGAAGGACCAAAACAAAAAAATGCTAATATTGTGCACTAGTTACTGCTATTTTGGGCAATAACAACTTTTGTCTCTAACCCTGGAGTCTTATTTTTTTGCCAACATTCATGGAACTGTTAACAGGCTAACTTGATAGCTTGCAAAGCCTCAGGATAAAACCTCAGATCCTTCACAATTCTTTATAGCATTTACCTTGTATACTAAAGAAACACTGGTTTAATTAAAGCATAACTTTTAATTTATATTTTATTAGTACACATTTGCAGTAGATATGTTTACATTCTTTGGAGCTGGTAGGTGTACATAACATACCAATTTTTTTTCATGTTCATTCCCCTTCCCTTCATCTCTTGATCTTCTTGCTTTGTTAGTATTTTATCTTTGAATGTACAAAAAAAGCCTTGATCTTGTGTTTTCTTCTAGTTCTTCAAAATTTTACAGTTTCTGTGATTCTTAAAAATGCAGCAGGGGGCTAGGGATTTAGCTCAGTGGCACCTCGCCTGCCTCCCAAGCACAAGGTCCTGAGTTTGATCCCTGGTATGCGCCCCCGCCAAAAAAGCAACAGGATCTTCAAGAGTGTAACATATGTTATTACATATTAGATATTTTACAGTATAATATTGGATTAAGCTTGGATATTCAAGCTATTCATGAGAAGCATTTGTTTTACTTTTTTTTAGTGTGGGAATATTATCGTTGGTTAGCAGTCCAGCTGAGAAAAGATGGTGTCTTGGACCAGGGTGGTGGCACTGGAGGAAGAAACAAAAGGGTATGGTGACTAATTAGATATACAGAGGGAGTGGAAGGAAAGAGTCCAGGTTTCTGGCTTGAGCAACTCACTCTAGTGGAAACATTCACTGATCCAGGCACCGGGGGAAAGGCTCAGGTGTAGGGAAGATCATGTAACAATGATGTGGGTTGCAGGTGATAAAGGGCTTTGTAAGCCATATTAAGGAGTATAGGTTTTATCCTAAGAGCAACAGGGAGTCATTGAAGGATTTTAAGTAAGAAAGTGATAACAGATTTGTATTTTAGAAAGATCACCTTTAGAAAGAGCACATGGATTGGAGGGAATACTCTGGTAGGAAAATTACTTAGGAGGCTATTAGAATAATTTGGCAACTCATGGTACCTGTCTTAGTCAAGGCTCTTCAGAGAAGCAGAATCAAAGGATATACATACCCACAGAGATTTACTGTACAGCTGAGTTCAAGGCCAGCCTGGGCTACATAATGAGTTCAAGACCAGCCTGAACTACATAGACCTTGTCTCAAAAAGCAAGAAAGCGGGGCCGGGATTTAGCTCAGTGGCACCATGCCTGCCTCGCAGGTGCAAGGTCCCAAGTTTGATCCCCGGTACCCCCCCCCCCAAATAAATAAATAAAAAATCAAGAAAGCAAAATGAGAGAGAGAGTGAGTACAGGATTGATTCACATGACTCTGAAGGACAGTAAGTTTGAAATCTGCAGAAGCAATGTCTCAGTTCAAGTCCAGTGCTGTATAGAATCAGGATGAGACAATGCCTCACTTTGAAGGGCATCATATAGGAAGAGTCAATGTTTTGTTTCTGTTTAAATTTAAAGGCTGAGCCAGGTGTGGTGACATACACCTGTAATCTTAGCACCCTCAAGAAGCTGAAGCAGGAGGATCACCACAAGCTCAAGGCCAGTCTGAGCTACATAGTGATTTCCAGGCCAGTCTGAACTACACAGAGAGACCCTATCTCAAAAACCAACCAAATAAAAACAAAAAACAAAGCAACTCAAATTTAAAGGCTGTCAGTAGGACAATCCTCTCTTACTTAGGGAAGACCAACTGGTTGTCCAGTGATGTTAGGTGAGGCCCAACCACTCAGGCTGCTTTACTGAGTACCAATTTAAGTATTAATCTCACCCAGAAATATGCAGAGTAATGTTTGACTACGTATCTGGGCACCTTGTGGCCTGGTCATGTTGGCATAAAAATTATCATGACAGGGGCCTAAACCAAATTTGTTGCAATGGAAATGTGAAGCAGATATAATTGAGAGATAGCAAGGGTGCAGGAGAGGCTGGTGTTATGGATGCTGACCTAATTCTTTTTCAAAAGTTTTTTTTCATATACATACTTTATTAGTTTACAAGAGACAGTAACATTCTTTTTTAACAGACATCTTGGGCCATGAGAGATCAAACAGATCTGAGGAAGTAAGATGAAAATTAAATAAAAAGCACTATATGATACCACCTAAAACCTACTACATGGTGGTAACAAGCTAAGGAAGATTAAGGTACAGCAAATTGTCTAATGTGAATGTTAGCAATGATAAAATAGGAAGCAAGTTTGTATTTCAAAAGACTATGGTACATAGGGCCAGGGATTTAGGTCAGTGGTTCCGCCGCTTGCCTCCCAAGGGAAAGGTCCCGAGTTCAATCCCCGGTACCAAAAAAA